TCCCCGACCCCACACACACAGTGGGCACGACCCGGGGGCTCTCCGCGCCTCTGTCTGTCCCTCTGTCCAGCCATGGCTGCCTCAAGTCTGTCTCCCGGTGACTCGAAGATACCCTCTCCCCGTTGCATTCCGACCCCCGGCACTTATCCCTCTTTGCTGTCTCTGCTTGCGGGACCCGCGCCCCGCCTTCTGCAATTTCTCTGTGTCTCCGCTTCCCCACGTCTGCAGGTCCTGCACCAAACCCCAGATGGGGACATGTGCGCCCCGGGACAAGCATGCTGTGCTGAAAAAGTGTGAAGGAGAGGCAGAGAAAGAGACAAAGATAGAGAAACAAGAGTCTATTTCTTCCTAGGGCACCTTTGCAGGACCTGCTGTTTCACCTGGTTTACCTCACATGTTCTGCATTGGTTTTGATGTCAGTACTGGCAAGGGAACGTCTAAAATGGCAGAGACAGAAGAGCAACGTCACTTGCCCTTGTTTCTGTGGGCTGTGTTTCTGGACTGTGTTGTTCCCCTCATTAATGGCAGAAATCCCACCATCCCGCAATCCCAAACTTGGTGACCTGCTGCCTGTCTGCTTGTTCTCCTTGCCCTGTTCCCTTTAGTATTCCTCAGTAGGGAAACCGACAGACCCAGTGCCTAGGAGCCATGGTCTTCCTGGCGGTGTTGTTCAAGGGATCCTATGGAAATAATGTGGGACAGTAGGGGGATTTCCAAATCGTAATGTTCACTGAAGCTGCATACAGTGTGTACATCCCCATTGACTGCTGCTCTGTCTGTCCCTCTGTCCACCCATTCACTGTGAAGTGTGTACCTCATTGACTGTAAAACGCCTTCGCTGTTTCCATCCCATCTCTGGAGTGTTACCTTGCTTCAGTTTCTTTCTCTTTCCCCTCGTTCTTGCATTTTCTGTGTATGTCTTGTTTTATAGTTCTTGTCCTCCAGTGATCCCAAGATCAGGATGTTTTGCCCTGGAACACACATGGTTGAAAGCTCTGTTGGATGGAACAGCCCCACTTAGATTCATCAAAGGAACCCAAAGAAGCCTGATCTCACATTTCCCCCACGTAGGCCCAGACCTGAGCCCCAGTAGCAGCAAGGGCTTCCCCTCTGCCTCATGGTCCCAAGCTTCCACTTTAGAAAGGAAGCCTAGAGACCAGCCTGCCTTTTGACTGGATGCATGTAACCCTTGGAAAGTGAGGCCTGGTCCAGGAGGGCAGGGGTTTGCCCAGGCAAGGGAAAGGACTTTCTCTCACACTAGTGCCCCCAGCCCCCCAACCAGCTAAAGGTAGAGTTTTTTCTGTGATGCAGGGCCAACACCAAGGGATCCTGGAAGTCCTCAGCTTTATTCTCTTGCAAATGCCTGAGGTTCTTCCTGGATCTTTATGGCATTAATTGCCTTCCATGCAGAGGAGACATGGTCAGAGACAGAGATAGAGACATGGTGTTGACAGACAGAAAGTGTACCTACCACTCTCCACTAGCCATCTTTCCCCTTCCCAGGTTCCATTCTGCTCCCACACTTCCTGTCCCAGATATTACCTATGTCTGTATTCGGCTGGCAGAACCCAATCACCCCTCTGCAGAATCTTTGTTATTTGCCCCCACTGAGATGCATACCTCCAGCTTTGTGGCACATGTATCAACAGTATTTATTTATGACTGTTGATAATTGTGAATTTAGGATTAGTTGTATTTTTAGCCTATGAAAATTAGTTGTGTAGTTTTTCTTAATATATGCAGTTGAATTGCAATAGTCACACAATGTTAAATTTGTCCACTTCTTAAAAACTGTTATTTTAGCTTGTTATTGGTTCATACCCTGGCACTTCCCCACTATGCCATGTCCCCAGCATAATTTGATTTTTATTTTGAGAAATAGTCTTTGTAAATAGCTTAGGTTGACCTCACATTGTAATCCTTTTACCTCATTCCTCTGAGTAAATGTCATTACAAATGTCTTTCATGCCACTTGTCTGTAGATTTCTTTTTAAATAATTTGAATAAAGTCTGTATTTCAGACTGCAGTGTAATTTTTTTGATCATAGCAATTGGCTGCATCATGCCCTCAGCTACCTCCAAAACTGTTTTTGAAATTTTATTTTCAGACAACATCTCACTATGTTGCCCAAGCCTCCTTGAAGCTTGCAGTTCTCTTGACTCAGCTTTCGGAGTGTCTGGGAGTACAGGTTCACCCCTGTACTCCACTTTTCCTGTCACCTTTTCCCACAATGGCATGTTGTATAGGAGGGAGAGATGCCTGTCCCTATCAGTTAATTATTTAGCTCATCTTCTGAAGGCTCTGCAGCAAGGTCTGTTTGTTACCACATTTTGTAAGTTCATGTATGATTGTAAGTCTTTGAATTCAGGTTGCATTTAAGGTTTATTTTGCCAGGTGCAGTGGTGTACACCTGTAATTCCACCCCTATGGGATGATAAGAGATACGGATCTCAGGGTCAGGCCCAGCCTGGGCATCTTAGCAATTTTGCAAGACCCTGTTCTTAAAAGAGGAGCTGGGGACATAGCTCAGGGGCATGGCGCCTGCCTTACAAGCATGAAGTCATGAGTTCAATTCCCGGTACCACTAAAAAAAACCACAAACCTTTCAAGTGTCTGTATGCCTGTTCTCAAAAGAAAAATTTAAAAATTGCTGGGGACATAGCTTATTGTGAAGGCTCAGTGTTCAATCCCCCTTATGGGGAAAAAATGGGAAAAAAGTTCCTTTAGTTTGGAAGGGCAACAGGGACTTAATAGTATGTGTTTTGTATCTTTTCCTGTCCTGGTGCTAATTGTGGTCAAATGTACAGAGGGAGACCACCAACCCCACAGCATTGTGGTAAACACATACATGAAATAGTGTGGGTTTGCTCAGATTTGGTAACTAAGAGAAGATGTCACCCAGCATGTTTATTAGTTTACATTAACTTTCTACATACTTGGAAATTGTGTAAAGATAGTGCAGTATTAGGATTCAGCACCATTAAAATGACGTGGAAAAAGAACTGGTGACATTTAAGATCTGAAGTTTGCAAAACTTGCATAACAGTTAAAGAAAATTAACTTTTAAAATTTTTTTATTTTAAAGAGAATTTAGAAACGAACTAAAAACAATACAGAATTTCAAAACAAAATGATAGGAAATCAGCAATGGTTGTTATACTGCACATTGCTAACTTCAAAGTAGTTGTTCAGATTACCAGATGTAGGCATGCAAAATTGATCAAAAAAAATTAAGCATTAACTGTTCCTTTCAATAAACCAATAGAAATTAGTAATATAATTATCTTCTATCTTGTGTGTGTGTATGTATATATATATTTTTAAAATTTTAGGGATATTGTTTCATACTCTTATAACTTTACCATGTTTAAAAATCCAACACTCATATGCCCATTAAAAATGCTTTAACCTTCCAATGTTTGATGAGAAGCAATATACAAAATACCCTGTCATTCAGTGACACCTAGAAAGTTAATGAAATTCTTCATTGTCAAGATCTGAGTCAACATTTTGTTTTGTTTTCTTTTGTTTTTTGGAGACAGGGTCTCACTATGTAGTTGATGCTGGCCTTGAGCTCACTATGTAGTTCAGATTGGCCTCAAACTTGCAGCCATCCTCTTGCCTCAATGGCCTAAGTGCTGGGATTACAAGCATGTGCCACCATGCCCAGCTGTGTCAACATTTTTATGGCAAATTTTTATGAAAAAAGTATCTAATTAGAAAACAGCTGTAGCTGTAGCTGAGCATGGTGGCTCAGGCCTATAATCCTGGCACTGTGGAAGCTGAGGCAGGAAAATAGTGAGTTCAAGGCTAGCCTGGGCTGTCTGGTCAATTCAAGGGCATCTTGGACTATATCAATAGACCCTCTCCCAAAAAGCAAAAGAAAAAAAATGAAAAGAAAAAAAAGCCAGGCAAAGTGCCTCATGCCTGTAATCCCAACAACTAGGGATACTGAAACAAGAGTATTGTAACCTTGAGGTCAGCCTGGACAGTTTCGCCAGATCCTTCTCAAAATAAAAATTGTAAAAGGGCTGCGATTCAGCTCAGTGGTAGAGTAGCCCTGGGTTCAATCACCAGTACCACATGTGCATACAAGCACACAGGAAAACAGAATGTAAAGAAATTTCAGTTACCAATGATGAGAGATTACATGCCAAGAATAATTCACCAAACATGAAAAATTCACATGAGGAAAGCTTTTGAGTTCTTGAAGATTTGAAAAGAGTAAAGACATATTATACTCGTCATTTAAAAAAATCAAAGTGGAAGCAGTCGGGGAATGTCCCTATAATCTCAGCACTTCAGAAAACAAGGCAGGAGAATTGCAAATTTGACCCTAGCCTGGGCAGTTTAGTAAGACCTTGTTTCAAAATTTTAAAAATAAGAATAAAAAAGGGAGGTGGGTAGCTCAGTGTGAGCACCCTGGGTTCAAATCCCAGTACTGCCCACAGGAAAAAAAAAAAAGATTGAACCACCCGAAATATGGCACAATGGCAGAGAATGTGCTTTGCATGTATAATGCTCTAGGTTCAATCAACAACAGCAACAAAAACAAAAAGATTCCACTTCATCAATAAGTCAATCATCAGTTAATTAGTCAATTTATTCTGAACCTGAAGGAAAAAACTGTATAAGAAAAATTGTTCTTCTTAAAACTTTATTCTTTTGAAACTGCCTTGCTCTGCAACTGCTTCCTGGCTTTGTAATTACTTTTTTGATCCCTCTTACCACAAGAAAGTAACCGAACATACAAAATGCCTAATTGTTCCCCTGTACCATGCTTCATAAACTGATGAGCATTAATCTACCCTATAACCAATGATCTCCCCCTGCTAACTAATCAGAAGAACTGTCAGGCTGTTCTATCTCACCTTTGTACCTCCTTTGTATCTCCTGCGTATGCATCATGTAAAAGCCCTCGACCAACAGAAATCGGGGCCTGATATTCAGGGAATGATCCCAACCAGTGCCCATCGACGTAAATAAATCTGCCTCCAAATCCTTATTTTGGTATTTCTGTTTGCCAATGCAACCCCATGTGAAATGCAAAGCACTTTTAATGTTTTTTTTTTCAGAGAATATTCATATGGGAAAATAAACAGTCCAGAGTGTCCAGAAGAGATATACCAGTAAATAGCTATTTGAAGAAAAGATTAGAATTACTCATATGAAAAAATATGGTAGAACACAACCAAGAACAGACAAAGACATACAAGAATCTAATACATGACAAGGTAGCCTCTGAAATCAGCAGGGAATAAAGATTGTATTGGAATAAGGCAGTAGTTATCTAGAAAGAGCTTAGTTCCCTATCTTAAATAATAAACCGGGATAAAATGCATATACATCTAAAATTGAATATACAGTGAACAATTAAAAGAAAGCACGAGGAGCCGGGCCAGATGGAGTATGTCCGTAATCCCAGCACTCCAGACACTGAGGTAGGGGTATCGCTTGGAGTTCCAGGCCAGTTGGACTACAGAGTGAGTTCAAGGCCAGCCAGAACTGCATGGTGAAACTCTGTCTCAAAAAACAATAAGTAAACAAGTAAAATAAAATAAATAAAAGAAAGCATCAATTCATTCATTTGTTACACTGAGGGAGGAAAGTCTTCCTATCTGTGCCTCAAAATCCATCGAAGAAAACATGGATAAATATGAACACATAAAACCATTGTCAAAAAATATCAGTCAGAAAAGCAATGACAAATGGGAAAATACTTTTTATATATCTTCAAAACTTGTGTGGATCTTTTAAGTTTGTAAGTGATGACAAATTTCGGCCTGTGTGAGTAGCAAGAAACACACATAAAACATATACTTAACACTATCTTTTAGAAATAACTTGTATGTTTTCTTTCCTTTTGGAATTTTTTGACTACATATAATTTTTCATCTTAGACATGTTTTGTATTATTACCATCAAGTTTCATAATCTTTGACACTTGAAATTATTTCTTTAAAAACTTTATTATTTATGTTATTAATAATGTAGGCTGTGAGTATAGCTCAGTGGTAAAGTGCTTGTCTAGCTTGTGTGAGGTCTTGAGTTCGATCCTCAGTGCCGTGGAAAAATAATATAAATGATCATTTCAGGTCCTCCTGTTTCACAAAACTAGAAAGATGAAAATGTGACTACCCCTGAAAATATGGAGGCTTGTCCTTCACCACCATACAATGCATATGTAAAAATGGACCCATACTTTTAGTTCAAACATTCATTAAATGAAATGCTCCTTCTCTAGAGACAAGTTTCAAGCGGCTCAGGCCCTGTGCACAGGCGCCCTCGGTTTACCAACCAACCCCTCAGCTCAAACCCAAGCACTAGAATCTCCTCCGGCCTTCCAGTAGGAGAACCTAAAGGAACGGCGGGTTGCTCTTACCCCGTGGCTCCAAGAAGATTCTTTCAGGCCCACAGACCAGGAAGACCAAGAGAGGTACTCTCTGAAGCATAAAATTTGCCAAGCATAAAATACATGCAGCAGTTAAAACAATAACAACAACACCTCAACAAAGTGAAAAGCAAGATACTAGCCCACTCCACCTCAGTCCGCGGGTTATCCACACGTGCGGACGCCTTGCAGGACCATCATGAAAGATCTCATGCGGGGTACGCGGAGCCCTGACAGTGCAGGGAAGGGAAAGGCCTCGGGACCAGAAAAGTGTGCCCCCAACTCAGCACCAGATTCGTGTTCTCCCGCGTCAGGGAAACGAACAGTAAAAAAAAAAAAAGCACAGGAGACTGACCTGACAGAGGCCGAACACCAGCAGAAAAGGTTCCACCCGACTGAGATCACTCGGATCCGCGCAATACAATCAGCTGGCCCCGCACTTCGTCCCTGCAATACAGCAAGTCCTCCGAAAGGGCTCCATGCTTTCTCCCAGCAGCGTGTCTACAGTTTCCCGGGGGTTTGAAGACGAGCAGGAAGGGGCGGAATTGGGAAACCCAGAGCTCCCTTGTGTCGGCCCCGCCCAGGGGAAGCGTGGGACAGGCTAAGAGCCTCTCAGAGACTTCAAGGGGCGGGGCGAGGTGAGTTTGAGAAAAACTAGGGTGAAACATTTTATATTTGCCAGGATCCTGTTGTCTCCCTTGAGTAAGGCTTCTGCTGGGAAGGGGCCAAAAGCTGAGTGAAGAGACAATGAAATGGAAAGTTTACCCCTCAACCTTCGCAAAAATATTTAGTGGAAAAAGAAGTTTCTTTTCTTTCTTTATTTTAAAAATTAAAAAGACTAACAAAACAACAATGAAGACAAAATCAAAACAAAAACGATGCATGACCTCAAAACAAAATGATAGGAATTAACAGTGGTTGCTACCTTACATACTATTATCTTCAACGAAGTTGCTCTGGCCACCAGACATAAGAATGTAAGATTGATCAAACAATCAAAGACAGTAACAAGTAATAATAAAAAAAATGGAAATGATGCAGAGCTTCACCATACAAGATGGTAGAAGTTCAACAATGGTTCTTATACTACATATTGTTTTCAGATCATTCTGATTACCATATTCAAACGTGCAAAATTAGTCAAGAAAAAAAGAAAATTTTAAACACTGACTGTTCTTTTCAATAAACCACAGACATCAGCAATACACCTATTCCAGTTATCCTTATATATACATATAAATTTTGTTTTTCATTTAAAAAAGCCCAAAATAACAAAAACAAATACATAAACAAAACAGCACAGAGAACAAAAAAAATGATACAGAATTTCAAAACATAGTGATAGGATATTAACAATGGTTGTTATATTACACAATGTCATCTTCAAAATGGTTGCACATATAACCAGATATAGGCATGCAAGACTGATCAAACAATTACATATTAAAAGTTCCTTTCAGTGAACCAACAGATATTAGTAGTACAATTATCCTAGCTATCCTGTGTATACATATACATATTTTAGGAAAAAGAAGTTTCAAACAACGTTGTTAAAAGTGGACAACTGGTATGCCTTGAAGTTATTAAACCTTTACTACTCCCTCCCCAAGGGAGAAGCAGGTTTCCAAGACCAGTTGCTCTCAGCAACTACCTTGCATTGCCATGGAGGTCCTGCCCTGCCCCCCACCCCCACCCCAGCCTCTTCTGGGGCAGCTGCAAGTTTATGGGAAGTGCTGGGTCCAGACCAGCAACAGCCACACTCAGGATTCATCCCTCTGGCCAGTGCCCTGATGTATTTGCTCCTTTCTTTTGAAAAAAGGAATACGGTTGCTCCTTGCCATTTGCAGTGGAGACACCTGTAGGGGATCCAGGAAAACGAAGCTGACTCACTCAGAGAGAAGGAGCGCTAAATTGAGATTCATGTGCACCCAGCACCTGGCTTTCTAAGGGAGCCTTTATTTAGGGGTGTGAAGAAAGATCTTTTAAAACACTATCTACGCTGCCCAGGCTTTGTATAACCTACTGGCTATTGGTTACTAGTCAATTGACACCGAAGGCACTTTTGCTGACATATTTTGTTTCCATTGACAATGTGGTGTCAATTTTTTTTTTTTAAATACATGGTAGAGCAAGGTGGCGCACACCTTAATTCCATCTATTCCTGAGTTCGAGGCAGGAGGATTGCGAATTCATGATCAGCCTGGTTAACCCAGCAACACTCTGTCCCCAAACAACAACAACAGATAAAAATAACAAAGGGCTGGATATGCGACACACCATGAAGCCCTGGGTTCAACCCCCAGTACTACAAAACAAAAGAAACAACAACCAACCCAACAACACCTTCACAAAAAAAGCCATGCTTCTAGTGAGAACCGAAGTCACCTTGCCCAGATCCACTGTCCAGTGTAACCACCCTTGAAAGAAACACTTTGAAAAGAAATCCGTGGCCTCTGCATCAATTTCCAGGCAGCACTATGGGGCGGCATCTGCCTCTCTTTCCTCCAGCTTTCACGCATGCACCCCTTCTCCCACTGATCTTCACAAGCTCGGCCCCGCCTTCATGACCTCCAGCTGCTACTTACTCCAGGCCTGAGGCTGGATTAAGTTTGGGCAGAGGTGCGTGGGGATTAACCAGCACACAGATGGGAGAATGAATAGCTTTAGTGGTGCTTTCTCCTGGACCCTAGACAGGCAGCCCACCTTTTGCCTTTGAGCAGCCTTCTCCTGGTGAGGGCTCATTAGGGGAGGGCTTAAGGCCCCAAAGAAATTCACCCTGCAGGAAGTGGGAGGGACAAGGCGCTTCCAACTCCTCCCAGGCTGAATTATCCCACAAAGACCTGGGCCCTCAATCCCAGGTGCCCCTCTCTGGATTCCTCCCTGATTTGCTCCTCTTTCACTATAGGGAGTAAAGGCCATTTCCCCGTGCCCGGAACCGAGGCAAAGTGAGTTTTCTGTTCACATCCCTAGACAGACACAGATTCAGTAAGGACTCACTGTGCCAGGAAACCAAGTCCCACGGAGGCTAAATGCCTTTGCTAAGGAGAGGTGGCTTCGGTTCACATATGCAGGCATCCCAGCCCTCAAAACTGGTGCCTTCTCCACGCAGAAATGATACTCAACATCACTAGGAGTTGGAGAAATAGAAGTCAAAAACACAAAGGGATACCACTTGACAGCTCCTAGGATGGCTAGAATAAAAACAAAATGGAAAATAGCAAGGCGGGAGGTTGTGGGGAAAATTTGGAAATCTCATACACCACATGTGAGAAATAGGAAGAAAAGAGACAGTGTGCAAAGCAGTCTGGGACTTTCACTGAAAGGGAAACAGTTTGTGCTTCATCCAGCATTGGTTTCCCTAGATATTCAGCCAAGAAAATTGACAGCAGATTATTCAAATCAAAACTCACAGGGGGAAAAACTCAAGTGCCTATGAACTGATGAATGTTTCAACAAAATGCGGTCTGTACACACCAAGGGTTATTAGTGAGCCGTAACACAGAATGAAGCACAGGTACATGATACATGCACACTAATCATGAAAGTCTTATAATGTGTTTTAACACTAGAGACAAAGAATGGACATTGCTTGATCCCACTCACCTGCAATGTGCAGAGTAGGCAAGTCTATACAGAGAAGCAGCCGATCAGGAGTTGGCAATGGCTGTGATAGGGAGAATAAGGAATGATTGGTAGTGTGGGTATGGACTTTCTTTGGGATGATAAAAATGTTCTAAAACTGGTTGTGCCCCAGACATATTCTGCCATTTGATTTTTGACAAAGGGGCCAAAAACATACGCCA